CCGACAGAGCGATAGAGGGGCAAGGTTGTGCGCAAATGTCTATTTTTTCTATTCATTCTTTTTTTGAGGGGTTTTTCTATTCATTCTTCGAAGTATTGGAAAGCGAGTAAGCAAGGTTGTGCGCAAATGTCTATTTTTTCTATTCATTCTTCGAAGTATTGGAAAGCGAGTAAGGAATCAATCTCTCAAGTGGGCCATGTTGCTTACGATGACGGGCCACTGGGCTAAAATTTCCTTTGTGGGTGGACTGAAATTTGCTCAGGTGCTCCCTGAAAAAACGGGCGCACCTATATCTCGCCTTCAGCGAGTCTGAAGAGCGAGCTGGGCCGGCCCACGAGGCCGGGAGGCCAGAGCCTTTTTTTTCTTTTACCTTTTCTGTTTTCTTTTATACTTTTTTTTTATATTTTAAAATATCCTCTCCCCCCCCCTCTCTCTCTATATATATATATAAAATGTTGAAAAAGTATTTAGAAAATGTTGAACATGTATTTGAAAAGATATTGATCATGTATTTGAAAAATATTGAACATGAATTTGAAAAATGTTGAACAAGGATTTGAAAAATATTGAATAAGTATTTGAAAATTTTTGAACAAGTATTTGAAAAATATTGAACAAATATTTGGAAAAATGTTGATTATGTATATAAAAATATTGAACAAATATATGAAAAAATGTTGAAAAAGTATTTGCAAAAATTTTATTCATGTATATAAAAATATTGAATAAGAATTTGCAAAATATTGAACATGTATTTGAAAAAAATGTTGAACTAGTATTTGAAAAATGTTGATCATATATAAAAAAATGTTAAACAAGTATTTAAAAAATATTGAACCATTATTTAAAAAAAATGTTTATCATGTATATAAGATTGTAGAATAAAAAAAACAAATAAGAACCAAAAAAAGGAAAAAAAAGTCAAAATACAACAAAGGAAAATAAAAAAAAACTGAAGAAACTAACAAAAAACCCAGAGAAGAAAAGAAAAGAAAAACAGACCTTATATAACGGGAACCAGTAGTACACGCCTGCCTTATTTCCTTTAAGTAGAACCCGTCCTAGTAGTAAAACATGTCGTGATAGACGACGCAGTGGCTAAGCTTGTTTCATGCGTACCACACTGGTACAGCAACATGCTATACAAACGGTTTTTAACCCCTTTCTGCGACGACATTTGGAACCGTCGCCAAGTGAGTGTGGGCGATAGGGGGTCCTTCCCACACGACCCAGAAACCGTTGGGGATAGGCCCTCCCGGGACACCAAATGAGCTCGTGTGCGATCGGGCGAGGCATAGAAACCCAATCATTTTCGTAGGTATGTACATCCCACACGGTGAATCTCAGAAAAACATTTTCGTAGGTATGTATATTACACACAGTTCTTTGAGTGGAAACGTTTGTGCAAGGTGGCCTAACGCAAACAGTTCGCTGCCGGAAGCCGTGTGTGATTGTTAGTTGATCAAACATGCCTACTTTCTAGAAACCGTGCGTGTTATTTGAGTTCATCGCCCACTGTGTTGTTTGAGTAACCGTCTGCAATAGAAAACCCCAATAAGCAGGGTAATTAGCTTATTATTAATAATTCATGTACTAATCAAATTGATATTTCTTATAAAACAAATCAGATATTTCATATCCGTATAACAACAGCCAGTATTTCATAATCGAATTACATCAGATAGCTTCGGCACTTAGTTACGCCATTACACAATAGCACCAAGTTTCACATGCAGCATCAAAAACCTTTGGAAAGTGGCATCATACACGGTAAATAGATAGATGAATCTCATCTGGGAAACTGCAGAAGCGGAAGGCAAATATTGAGCCTTCAGTGATGTTGAATGTCCTTGCAACTTTAGGCCAGTGGCTATGGATAATTGCCCGCCCAACCTGTGTCCTCTTCAGCAAGACTTCAATATTGTACCATGGGGTGTTGAATGAATACCTTCCTCACCTCTTGACCATGCAGGTGGTTTGAGAGGTAATCATTGGTGAACTGCTTTGAAAAGTACTGAAAACAAAGATATGCATAAATAGCTATTATAAATTTTAAAATGACGCGAGGGGTAAAACCAAGGTAAAAGAGTTAGTACCATCCTATAGTTGACCGATGTCTTCTTCACTGTGCAAACAAAGATCTTGCTGTTATTCGTCGCAAGTTTCTTCATCCAAACAATCTTTCTGAGTTTCTTGACTTGACTGATATTCATGGACATCTCATTTCCCCATATGCAAAATGGGTCGAACAGTGGGTCTAAGCCTCTGACAGCAGGACCTACATGTGCAAGACCAAATTGTAAGAAACCTCAATCTTAGAATGATTCCTGCAACTGCACAATAATGTGCTATTAGCCAAAGGACCATGCTTGAACAAACCTCGATGGTAAACCGCAGTGTCTCTCATTGTTTCCCTGCAACACACATAAGGAAGATCTTGATTAGGTTAACTGAGAGTTGCCATACTATCAGTAGAATATGTATTGAGTACAGCCAAATTCGATTGGTGTCACATGCATAACAATACAAAATTGTACCCACAACAAATGAGAATCAAATTGCAGAACTAAATCAAACAGTTAAATGGACAGCAGACCAAATGAACCAAAATAGTTAACTGAGCACGACATTGCAGAATAGAAACATGTACTAGAAGATAAGTCAGTTAACAAAACAAAGAATGCTTGAGAACAGTACTACGAAATGTAGCAATTTTTGGACCAAAGTGTTAACTGAACATTACATTTCAGAGGACCAAACTGTTAACTGAACATCAGATTGCATATTAACATTACAGAGGACAAATCACTAGAAGACACTAGCGGTGTCCTCGAGAAAACATCACAAACTGTATTTTAAAGTAGACAACCGCGTGGCGGTGTCGACAATGGCCTCGAAGACGAGGTGCTCCTCCAAGATCTGGTGGTCGACACGCATGGCAGCCATAGCGACCTCGTGCGCGCGTGCGGCCGCATGCTACTGAGCTCCATGTTATATTGCATGCAAAATGGTTGTGGGCGGCTCTTAATTGGAGGAGGGGGACGGTGATTTTGGTGGAAGGTGTCGCGCCGTTGGTCGGGGCATGTGGGACAGGAAAAGAGGAGGATGGTGGTGGGGTGTGTATTACCTGACCATATCGACGAGGCCGCGCAATAAGAAGAAGGGGCAGTGTCGGTGCGGGAACGACACCTATGGGATCACAAGAATCCCTACTACGGTTGGCGGGGCGCGGGGTCGTGACAAGAGTGGATCTAACAGGTAGCACACGGTTCGTTTATCCAGGTTCGGGCCGCAAGGATGCGTAAAACCCTACTCCTGCTTTAGTGGACTGTATATCTGTGTTCTTGAGCTAGCTATGGGGCGTGAGGAGCTCCAAAAAGCCGAATCCTTCTCCTGGTCGCCTCGGGCCTCCTTTTATAGAAAAAGGGGTTGCCACAGTGGCACACATGAGGTGGAAAGGGAACAGTGATGCGAGGTTATCCCTCGCATTACATGACAAGGCGCATTTAATGCGTCTTGCTTAGGTGTCCTTGCTTTATCGGGGACGGGGGAGAGATCTGCCTCGTCCGTTGCCGCTCCTTCTTGTGTCGACACGCGCCCTGGCCAGCGACGCCTGCGATGCCACGTAGGTAGGCAGGCAGCTGAGGTGGCGCAGTGGTGGGTCTTCACGAAGATCTGCATGCCGCCACGTAGGTGCCTGCCCAGCTGGTTGGGTCAGCAGCTGCATGCGAATGGCGGTGGAGGTTTAGTCGGCGTGGGCCTGATGATTGCCCTGCAGGTGTCCTCGGCAAGGGCCTTGCCGGGGCCCCGACAAGGGTCTTGCCGAGGCGCCTGCTGTCATCCCCGGCAAGGCGCTTGTCGGGGGCCTTGTGGTCTTCCTCGGCTGGGATCCCGCCAAGGGTTGTCGCCTCCTTAGTGCGTATCTGATCTTGAATGTCTTCGCGAAGATCTGCATGCTGCCACGGGGATGTCTCCCGAATCCTTGCCCTCTGGGGGCAGTGGACTCAAGGGTGATTCGCTCCGTAGGCGCGGGACGAGTCGCCGCGGGAAGGGTCTTGCCGGGGCTGCTAGAACTGTCTCCCGGCAAGGATCTTGCCGGGGGAGTCCGCTTCGTCCCCTTTGCTCTTCGTGGTCTTGGCCTTGGCGTCGTAGTTCTCTTGAGCTTCGGTCTTACCCTGGCTTACCTCCCTTGCCTTGCTTGGTGTGGTGGTGCCCGCGGCTCAGACTGCCTATGCACAGTTATAGGGGTACAAAAAGTGTACCCCTCTTTTTGTACACCGACAGGAGCCCCCGGGCCTGGTCCACAC